CTTCCTTTCATACACTGTAGACTTGTGGTTTTCTTCCATGTCATATCCAGACTTGGAAAATCAAGAGGCTGCCATTGCAGTTTCTTTCTCTTCCTAATCAGGTGGTCTCGGATTCCAAAGTAAAAATGATCAGCAAAAGCAAAGAAATGGCATTTTTTTCATGCATATTTGAGTTTTTACCTGCACGCGTGTCTCTGGTTCCTGTCATCCTTGGTCGCCATGTGAAATTACACCCTTTCTCAATCATCTTTCCCTTCCCTGACTGTCCTCTCATATGTGACATGTGTACTCCTCTCTTGCTTGAACTTTGAGTGATATCTGCATGGCCAGTTTTCCCAAGCACCCTCAGCAATCGCTCTTTCTTAGGAAATAAACTCTATACTTTCAAAAATGTTCATGAAACATTCTACTTGTTTGTCTGTCTTAGAAGCTGATTCTCTCATATGGGGTATTAGCTCCTGAAGACCCTCTCAATGAAAAGTAATCATTCTCCCACCATTCCGGTAATTCATGTAAAAAACTCATACTTGCATATACTTAATATTGATCTTGTTCAAGATTATATCCCCATTTACATCTGCCATTTACAAGGCCAATTTTTCACATGGTCATAAATGTCTGAAAATAAAATATTCTAATAGAAATTGATTAAGAACACTATTTCTTCCCAGCCCAAATTCCTTTGGGTCATGCTTCTATGTACAGTGATGCTGGAGGGGCTGGAGAGTATTTGTGAGATCTGGTGAAGGGGAAGTTCCCACAAAATATGGGCATTAACAGAGATAAAAATAAAACTCCTCATTTGGATCTATAACAAAGACATCATCAAGGCACTGATTAGTTAATGTTTGCAATTTAAATATTTAAGTTTCTATACAAGAAAACTTGAAATGTCCTGAAATCCTAGAAATATCAAGAGTTAATAGGGACTTTCCCAATTCAACACTTTAAATTTAATGTGATATTATTAGCTGGGTATAAACAAAACAAAATAAAACTTTATAGTGTATTTAGAGAGTGCCAAATAATGTTAATTAGCACATGTATTACCTTTTGGGTAGTGAGAACACTTGATATCTACTGTCTTAGAAATTTCAAGTAGATAATATGTTATTATTTACTATAATTATTATGATTCACAGTAGAGCTCTTGAATTTATTTCTCTTGCCTAACTGAAATTGTGGATCCTTTGACCAACATCTATAATTCTGCCACCTCTAGCCTCTGTTAAACTTTATGAGTTTGACATTTTTAGATTCCACATAATAGATCAGATCATGTGGTATTTATCTTTCTGTGCTTGGCTTATTTCATTTAGCACAATGTCCTCCAGGTTAATCCATGTTGTTGCCAATGACAGTATTTCCTTCTTTCTTAAGTCTGCATTGTGTTTGTGTGTGTATGTGTGCATTGTGTTTATGTGTGTAGGTGTGTGTGCTACAAGGGTGTTTTACCTTGAGCCATATCCCCAGCCCTTTTATATATTTTATTTTGAGACAGAGTCTCACTGGGTTGCTTAGGGCCTCTCTAAGTTCCTGAGGCTGGCTTTGAATTCACAATCCTCCTGCCTCAGCCTCCAGAGCACCTGGGATTACAAGCATGTGCCATCATGCTCTATTTCTAGTTTTTGGAGGAACTTCAGTACAAACTTCCATAATGGCTGTGCTTGTTTACCAACACAGTAAACAACAATGCACAAGATTGTAAGATAGTTCCCAAGGTGTGTATATGGTGATTTTTTTTGCCTACCTATTTTTCCTCCTTTTCTGGCTCCTTGGAGAATAATCCTCCTTTCACTCTTAGTCCATTGATTCCTATAAGCCAAGATTCTCTGCCTTCAGGGATAGGAAGAATCCCAGGCTTAACTGGTTAGGTATTTTTTACCTCTCTGATCAAAATAATAATTTGTTCTCAGGACATTAGGCATCTTTTTCAACAGCTTTTTACTGATGTTTTATGTCAGAAAATTGTACAACTTTTGTTATTTTTCTAACTTTGAGAGATCTTGCTGCTTTTTTTAAAAAAAGTCACTTTTATTGAGATAAAATTTACACTTTATTACTTTTTTCTGCCTCTCATGGTCTCTGAGGCCATCATTTTTTTTTTTCTTTCTGCAGGTAGAGTTAGCTCCTATGTTCATTTGGCCTTCCTCCCTTGGGCAGTTTGAGAACCTTTAAGTTCATGATGATTAGGGTCTACATTTTCTTGCCACCGACACAGATCTGGTTGCTAGGGTCTCTCAAGCAGGGACCAATAAGAAGCTGTACAAGACACAGCAGATTCTCTCTTTCAGGGCAGGACTGAGCAAACATTTTCTCCTGGTCATGAGAGAGTTCGATGCCCTGCAGTGGTTCCTCTCCAGAGCCACAGTATTCAGGCCTCTCCAGAACCCCAGCAGGTCAATGGGCCTGCCATTCTCTGAGGAACCTCATGTTTATGATCCCATCCTTTTTCTCCTCAAGCAGTGGTGAAATCCCAGTTTTCCCTCCAGCTCTTGAGGAGAGAGGAGCCGATTCCCCTCTTGTTTGGTGTGTTCCATCTCTTGTTTGGTGTATTTGGCATTAAAGCATGCAATTGAGTACCTAAGTTGTAGCATGAACTTTTACTGGAATTTCCCCTTCCTGGCCCAGCCATGTCTTTTCTAATCTGATGGGTTATCAGAACAGAGAAGAAGCTGGGTGAGAGGATATCCTAAAATTTCAAAACTTCCACCATCTTGAATCCCAGGTAAATTTCTAACCACTTATCTTAATACATAAAATCCTTTACTATTTAATGTATGTTGTTAACCTCTCTTGGCATTGTCTCAAGTGAATCCCTTTGGTTGAGCATACCAAATGACTCTGCATTCCAGAACTAAGCAAGTTCTTGTAGAACTCTGTGCCATTGAATAGATCCTGCAATCTAAAATAGTCTCCTCACCTTCACTCCTCAAACATCCACTCCTCATTCATTTTTTTTTTTTTGCCCATGTATTACTCACCATTTCCTCCTCTTGGAATTCTTCTTTGGGATTCAATCATTCATTCCCTATCTTAACATTTGGTTATATTTAAATGTTATTCATATTTTCATAAGACCATAAAAGTGAGGCAAAAACATTGTAGAAATTTTGTGTAGGGTAAACTCAAGTTTTAGAAGGTTGTCATGTGGAAATGTCTCATTGTATGTGATAGAAAACACAATTTGATGTAGCACAACTAAGAAGCAAATTAATCGGTTTCATAAATGAAAAGTCCTGAGGTAAGATTGGAATGTCAAGGAGGAAATGAAATGTGTAGCTGATGGGCCATTTGGAATGACTCAAGATTCCTATCTTCCCACTGCCAAATGTTAAGGGATTCCAGACATTTCCACCAACTCTTTTTTTAATGAGAGCATATGTGAGATAAGCTGAAAAATAAAGCGAGAAAGACAAGTTTTGGAGGGAAAAGTGAGAGAAAGAAGAAGAAGAGGAGGAGGAGGAGAAGAAGAGGAGGATGGGGGAAGGAAGAGGGAGAACATATTGTGTGACACTTTTATATTTGACTCCATAGCTATCCCTACTTTCTAATTGCTAACCTAGAACAGTACCTCTAGTTCTCCTTTTCTTCCAGACCTGAAGTTGGTGATTAAAGAAGTAGCACAGGATTACATCTTAATTTCCTTTCATTGGGTTTTATTGTTAGTATTTTCTCAAAATTCCAAGCTCTTTTTCTCTTATGGAATTACTGGTAGTTGGCCCTTTTTTTCTTAGAATGAGAAGTATTTTTGTTTTAGCAACTCTAGGTTAAATATGGTACTTTTTATAAAGTTAAACCAAAATGTGAAAAGTAGGGGATAGTCGGCCTTCTAGTGCTAACTTAGTTCCAAGACCTGCCTTAAATGCCAGCACTTACAAACCAGATTGCTGACTCTCACCATGTTTATATGACATTCTAGAGCAGCCTCTGCCACCGACTCCCCTGCAGTCACTTTTATTGCATTCAGACTAAGAAATATGGACGTAATTACCCTAAGTACATGTATGAAGACACAACTGGTGTGACTCTACTTTGTGTACAGAGACATGAAAAATTGTGCTCTATATGTGTACTATGAATTGAAATGCATTCTGCTGTCATGTATAACAAATTATAATAAATAAACAAACAAAACAACAACAACAACAAAAAGAAATACCAATAAACAAGCAATCCAGATGGTTTTTGAAGAAGGTCCTTGGTAGAATTCTCACCTATTTTAATCATGGCTAAAATATGTCTTATACTACTTGAGAAATATTTTATGTATGATTACAAAGGTCATTTTAAAAATAAATTTAATTTAATTTAAAATGTAAAAGTTCAACAGTAAAAATGAGTGATATTGGAACTAGACTGTTAGGCCCCATAATGTGAATAATGATCTGTCCTCAAGTACAGGCATTTCTACTGCCACCTCCTTCCTGTTTGTAACTTGTAAAGTTCTTTACACCAAATCAGATGTCCAACATTAAATTGATAGACTCAAATGGATTTGTCAGAACCTAACATAGTAGTTGCTTAATGCCAGGGACCAACTACAGACAAGATCACATTAATGAACCTGTTCCAATTCATGTTTTGGTCATATTTAAATCACCAGTGGTCCTTTAGAAAGGTCTATAAAATTTTTCTATGTGCATGTAACATACAACTATATAGACAGAAATATCTATGAGGAATTAATAATTAAAAGTTATTTCTCACTTGATCATTGAAGGAGCACACTTGATTTTTTTTCCACTCTAAGAAATTATACCTGAGAGATAGACTAGGATCCAGTTAATGGGAAATGGATAGGTTCATGAATTAGCCAAGTCACTGTACCATTAATTGAACATATATTTGAACTAATGAGTAATTTTCTCCCATTTAGGAAAAAAATGCCAGATTTTTTGTTGAATAAATAGAACTATTAAATTATTTCATTTGGCCTCAATCGTGGAATATATCTTGATGTTATAAGATGGTCCTAATCATTCTGGTCTTCTTCACAGGGTTGGCCTTTGCTATTCTCTCATCTGTGCACCCAGTGTTTGGTTTATATGGATCTCTGTTTCCTGCCATCATCTATGCCATATTTGGAATGGGACGACATGTTGCCACAGGTAATAAATTCCTGCCTATGCTTATGCTTCTCATGTTAATAATAAAGGAGACTCAGAGTGATTGTTCCTTACTGATAACATTTCCAAAACAATTCTAACTTCACTGTTGGAAAATATCAGCAAATATTGCTTCTATATATTTCTGTGTTTTGGATAGTCAGTGCACACTGTGAGTTATTGCTACCTTACTGTGTAACCAAGGTTATTGCAAAGGATTCTTTGCATTTTTAAGTTGTAAAAAGACCATGAAAGAAGCTGGGCACAGTGGTGCACACCTGTAATTCCAGTGGCTTGGGAGGTTGAGGCACAAGGATTGCAAATTCAAAACCAGCCTCAACAATTTAGTGAGGAACTTAGTGAGACCCTGCCTCAAAAAATAAGGAAAAGGGATGAGGATGCAGTTCAGTGGTTAAGGGTCTCTGGGTTCAATCCCCAGTACCAATTAAAAAATAAAAACCATGAAAGAGGGGGAGGGTTTACAATGAGATAAGAGGAAGTAAGAACTTGAAAGAAAACAAAAAAGACTATAAAATTTAGTGATTCAAATACTGAAAAATGTTTTACACATGTGTTTGATATTTGGACTAAATGGTCTTCTAGGTTTCTTCCAGGCTAGATTCTGTAATACCCTTTAATTGGTATGTATCTTGCCTTAAAACATGAGCAGTCATGATTATTCTGCTACTACAGCAGGCTGGTTGGTGTTAGTTAAACTTGGGCATAGATCTCCTTTTCTGTTTGCTATCTATGTGATCTGGACAAAATTTTAAAGCTATTAATTTTAAAGCTTAATACTAAGATGCCCTTCTGCTGAATTTCATATAATCACACTGAGAACTAGATCATTGATGAACAGTGTCTAATTTAGTACTTGCTTCATAAAGTTTAATAAAGTTAGCTATTATTAAAAATGCACTTTAATCTTAAATACTAATAAAGTACTTTAAAATGGAAATATATACACATTTCTATAATATTTTCTCAGTGTCAGATCTTAGCCTCTAATCATTTTGCAACCATATCTTCAGGGATCACTTTGTGTTATTGATTGTATTAGTTTCCTAATGCTGCTGTAATAAATTAGCATGAGTTTAGTGGCTTAAAACAATACAAAGTTATTGTTCAGTTCTGGAAATCAGTAATCTGAAATGAGTATCACAGGACTAAAATTGAGTCAGCAGGGCTTCATTCCTTTCTGAAAACTCTTAGGAGGGAATGCATATTCTTGACTTGCCTGTCTTCTAGATGTTTCCTACACCTTCAAGGCAGCATTGTGGCATCTTCAAATCTCTCTCTGACTCTCATCTTTTTCCTCCGTCTTCCATATTTAATGAACCTTGTGATTACATTGGATATACATGGACAATCCAGGGTAATCCTCTTATATTAAGGTCAACTGATTATCAATCTTTAAATCATCTGTAACATGAATTATTCCTTGTCAAGGAGCATAGCATGTTCACAGGTTCTAGGGATTAGCATGTAGACATATTTGGGGGACATAATTTTGCTTACAACATTGACACATAAAATTTTTCATGACATGTTTTGTGTGTAATGTTTGGTTTTTTATATCCATAACTTTGTTATGGGGAAGGATTGACAGCAAACCATCATTTAAAGTATTGCTACCTAAACTCTTCTCCGTGAATCTGCATTGCATGGAAGTTTGTTAGAAACACAAAACCTTGGTTTCTACCTCAGACCTACCGAAATACAATCAGCATTTTCACAAAATCTCCAAGTTTTACATATACACATATGCATAGTCTAGAGCCACATAATGAAATTTTAGTCAACAATAAATGACATAGAAGAACATGATCCCATAATAATAACCTAGTGACACCATAGCTATCTTAGTTTGAGTAAGTACAATTATGAATGATGGTATTTGTCTGAGAGAAATTGGTTACAATGCATTTCTTACAATGAATCCCTGTTATATACATGCCTGTATATAAAATATAAACATTATATATATATGTATATAAAAATATATATGTATATGTATGCATATGCATGTATCTTTATGTATACATAAGTTTCAAAACCATTCATATACTATTCATTAGGTACTTTATTAAGAGCATTACATGTTACTTTGTGCTATTTCTTACCTATTAAGTGGGCATTATTATCTGCATATTTCAGATTAAAAAGAAAATAAAAATAACCACAAAATCTGAAATTCAGAAAACTTCCTGGGAGGGCACAAATTAAAGTCAGAGGTGCATGGTTTACAATTCAGAGGTAGCCAAATATAAAGCCTAAGTTTTTTTTTTCTTTTCTTGACAATGTGGTGTTTTAGAATGAAATTTTCTTTTATATTAATGCAAAAGAAGAACACAATAATGAATTAGAAATTTGTAAAGCTTATTAGTTAATTATCCTGCTTTTTCATTTCTGAATAGTTTATTTTCATTTTTGAAAGATTTTAATATGTTCTTAGAAAAAGCTGACTGGCTTATAGCTTCAGAATGAACCTCACAGATTTCCCTCTATTTAACACAAGAAAAGGCAAAACAAACCAATAGGCCATAATTACATTACGAAGTAAAAAATGCACAGTTTGATAATATGTACATGTACCTTTACATAAACCATTTTATTACCTAGGTAATCACTGAAGACATTTGTTGGTTGAGTAGTTTTGAAATTACCATTTATATAAGACCTCAACTAACAAATTATTTAATAAATTATTAACAGCTGTAGGAAATTTATGGTCTATAAGGTAAAAAATAGATATAATTTCTGTGACAAGAAATAATCAATTAACTTATTCCTTTGGCTATAAAAGGAAAAGATGGAAACATGGGTAAGAATCCAATGGAAACAGAACTAAGGAAAACAACCAATATGTGACAATTCAGAAGATTTACTTGTCTTCTAAATTGGACAATTTTTTGGTAGATGAGGAAGGGCCATCTAAATGGCTTTTCTGGGAGAAGAAAAATGAACAACTTAGAGAAAACTTAGGAAGATAATATAAGAAATAAAAACAAATAATTATTGTACTGAAAGTTTACATTGTGAAAATGTTTTATATATAAAGTTTCATCTATTCTCTTCCCAAATTTTATAAGTAGATATTTTTTCATCATTCAAAAATATGGAATTTGGGTGAGGTTGGTAAATTGACCAAGATCACAGGCTGATATTCAGTGGAATAGGATTTAAACTTGGGTCTGTCCAAGGCTGGAACCCATACTCACTTCCTATTAGACCCTTCTACCCACAGTACTATTAAATGACCAAATGGGTTAGTGGTATTTAAGGGTTGCTTCCACTAGTGGATTTAAAGCCTGACTAGGGTAAAAAGTTGAGAAAATAACAGAAAAAACCGAGAGGTAGTAGGAAGAAGATATAAACGAGGGTGAGGCTCATAAATAGAGAAAGTAGACCATCCAGAACATCCTTACATTGCAGCAGCCCCAGCTCCTTGGTCATCCTCCACTATCTCAGAAAGAGCCAAGCTGTAGTCTTGCTAAAGGAACTCCTATGCAGGTGAGGCTCATCTTCTCTCTGCAAAAAACCATGTAGATGACCCTTTCTGTTCTACCATTTAAATCCTTCTTATCTTCCTCCAAATTCTAGGAAAGTTAGGCCTAAACTCAAAAAATTAACTCTTTTATATGTTTTCAGTTTTATAGTCATTTGTTCAGGGCTTCTCTATAAATCATTTTACTTTGTGGTCCAGGAGATTTAAAGATTTAAAGCAACATCTGATTCACTTTCAGGACAAACCTGCTGTAGCACATCCTGAAAAATATATCTTATCAAGATAAGATTCTATTGTGAATGTTCCTTCCTTAATAGTCTCTATCCTGGGTGCTAGAATCTTGTCTCTCATCATCAGATATATTCATTCCTGGATGCATTCTTAATTAAGCTTTTTTTGATGGGGGCAATAATCAAGATGATTTATTTATGATTTATTGAGGATGACTTTGCTCACTAAAAGAACTCTTCAATTTTCCATATGTTTATGGACCATCAACTCTAAGAGAAGAGTAAAGAATAACAGACCATAAGAGAGCAATCTGATCTTAATCTTACTAAGAATTGTCTGCCTAACATTTATTAGGAGCTAACCACATGCGATTAGATGTTTGCTATTTGATATGTGCTGTATTTTATTATCCAATTTTAGCTTCATAACAACCCCATTGGATGAGAAATGCCATCTGTTTACAGATAAGGAGGTTGAAGGGTGACAGTTCTGGGACTTAAGGCCACCTTCATTAGAATCTATAATCACCACTTTGTTCTAAATCCACAGCACATACTGCCCTTCTTATTTAAAGCCTCTTATCCATTGAGAAAAGAAGATTGTTTGTGTGTGTGTGTGTGTGTGTGTGTGTGTGTGTGTAGGGAGGTATGTTCCATTGAGACTCGTATCTGTTGGAGTCCTGTTTTGCTTGCCCTGTGCTACTGCATGCTTTGTGTTCTATGGACATCTTGCCAAGTCCATTTTTTTGCAGTCTCCATTATAACCTAGAGCAAAGTAAGATTTTAAGTAGTGATTTGGGGGCATGTTTGCACAGTGCAGCAGTGTTTTTTTTTTTTTAACCCAAGTTTTCTGAGCCTTTCTGTGGGAATGAGCATTTCCCCATCTAAGCGGCAGCATTTCAGGCAGTCTTTACCAAGATGACAGGCATAGGAACTCTTGACAGGAAAAGGGCACTCACTAAACATGGTCCCACACATGTAGAAGGCAAGGTGATTCTTGGTAAATATTGCTAGCCTTATCTAACAGCAGTAGATGTATATTTAATCATTTTATGAGTCACAGGACATTGTTATATTATAATAAAGCTACACTTGGTTATGAGATCACAGTGGGGAGAAGAATTTAAGCCTGGTCAGGAGTAACTGGAATAGATCCTTTTGAATATGGAATATCAGCCAGAATTGAAAAATAAGTAGCATCTGCATAGGAGCATTTCAATCAGAGTTCATATGTAACCACTGAGTTTACTGAGGTCTTTGAACCTCCTTTACATTCTCCCCTAACCCTGAAATATAGGTATTATTAATTGCCCCAGTTAATGGATGAGCTAACTTAGACCCAGAGTAAGGCATTATAGGTCACATTATTGATAAATTGAGGTACTGGATTTAAATGCAGGCCACAATCTTAACCACTGCCCCTAGGACATTTTCCATGCCAGTATGCAGACAGGAAGGGAAATATATGGCCCAGGAGGTCATAGCAGGTAGATGAGTATGATTGCTTGTTAACGAATGTATGTATACAGAGAATGCACGTATCTACTTGTTTCAAAGAGAGGGGTGAAAGATGAAGTGGGGATACAGATATTGTTTCTCATAGATCTGTTTGGCTTTGCAATATGGCATCAACTTTAATGGTAGAATTCAACAATTTTGATTATATCATTTTCTTGAGTTACTAATTGAAGGTTCTCTGCATCTCCTTTTAGGCACCTTTGCCTTGACATCCTTAATATCAGCCAATGCTGTGGAACGGCTAGTCCCTCAAAGCAGCCGGAACCTCACCATGCAGAGCAACTCCAGTGTACTGGGCTTATCTGACTTTGAGGTACAAAGGATTGGAGTTGCTGCAGCTGTTTCCTTCCTGGGAGGTGTGATTCAGGTAAGTAATACTGAGGCTTGAGAAGGCAGAAAGGGACCCAGTAGCAAGGGAAGCTCTTGTTCATGGGCCTTTCGAGGTAGATAAAGGGCAGATGTATTTTATCTTCTATGTTGTCTACTACCAAGAATAATTACTGTACAAGTGCTGGTTAAGTGAAAGAGCTAGAATCAAGAAATTGAAGTTACAGAGTAGCTGTTGCTGGCTTTTTAATAATGAGCCTTCTAAAAAATGTTTATTAAAAGTGGAATAGGCTTTCTTGGAAGGTAGCCAGACCATCCTTGTTTTCATACAGTGACCAGATTGTCCCTGGAAGGGAATGTCATGATTAAAGTTCCTATAATGGGAAGGAGATGTGATAAGACTTTGAGAATCCTTCCCAACATTTTATACTGCCTACGCCAGTTACAAATGATACTTAGCTTGTGTTACAGGTTTGCTAGTTTGAGGTCATCAGACTCAGATCTGGATTAGTTTTTGCCCCTTTCCAAATTAGGTGTGTATGTTACTGCCAAGTTCGCTACAGTCATTTTTTCAAAATATTAGACTATGTAATTTGCTGTTTTTAATCAGTGTTCAAAATTAGGTAACTCAGACATGACTATAAAATAAATATAGACAAAGCATTGGATATTAGATAGGGAATTGTCTATTTCATAGACATTTTTGCTTACTCCCACACTGTAAACTGAATTCTATGTACACAAACTACCCAAATGATTGCTTTCTGGGTTGGTAGGAGCTCTTACTTTACAGTGCCCTAATTACAAGGTCAAAGATTATGTAAAGGTCAAGAAGGGAGACAAATAGTTGATTATTGCTTGGAATTGGAGGGAAAGAAGAAAGGAGGTAACCTAGAAGAGAGAAAAATAAAACTCTAAGAGTTACATTGCCTTCTAAATGTGTCAAAAAGACTGAAGAATTACAGATGTGAGATGAAATGAGAATAAGAATTCAAGTCTTCACAGTTATGAGAAAAACACACCATCTGAGTAGCATCTTTTTCAAAGAGATGGACCAGTTGATATTTTCCAAGGCATAGGTCTGGTTGCCTGGGGGTTCTGTAATCTTCGTTTTTTCAAACATGGATGATGTCAGTGTGTTCCAAGACTTCACAGGCTGGCTGGCTGTGTGTCCCTTTCCTTCTCATTTTGTCTGTGTGAGGCTGTGAAATACCTGTCATCTGTCTTCATTTTAGAAACAATCAGCCATGTGAGCTGGTGATTAAACATGGATGTGCTGCATTGGATTGGATATAGGTTTCCCTTAATTTCTGTACATGCAAAATAAAAATGTTTGTACTAAGATGGCAAAGGCAATATTCCTTCTCCTTGTTCTGTTGCTTTCCATTCATGTTTCTCATTGAATTTATGAGTTATAATAAGTTTCAACTTTCTTTTATTCTATACATCATGGAACAAATAGTTTTAGGTGCATATTACTATATTAAATGTCTATAAGAATACATAATCAGCAAGAAGACCATAAATGATCTGCTTAGTCTCATTTTAACCATTTTCCTAAGTCCAAAGCAATAATTAGGTGTTTTATTATTTTCTAAGCATATTTGGGTTAAGGATTTAAATGATAAAACAGAAAAGTAGAAGCCAGGATTCTAACATAAAAAGTAAATCTCATTTTCCAGACTGAAACTCCCTAGAATTATAAGAGTAATACAGGATATTATTAAAGATAATAAAAATAATTTCATTTTCATGGCCTTTTACTACATGTCAAACCGGATCCAGATAGTTGCATGCTTTCTCTTATAACTTCATCAAACATCTGCTTTTCTTCCCTGTTAGCTCTGGTCCTGGGTATGTGACCTATGTTTTAGCCAATTTTCTAACAGATGGCTGGACTTTATTTGACCTCCAAACTTATCTGTCCATTGTCATCCAGATCCTTAGAGTCTTTTAGATCTCTTGGATCCAGCTCCTTAGTCAATTTTTCTTTCCTGCTTATTTGAAATTCACTGACTAGGAGGGAAGTGACTTGTATCTGAGTTCTATAAACACTGGTGTTGTTTGCTTGTTTGCCTTCTGTTACACTGATTTGTGTGGTATTGTTCTTAAACATCATTTGTTCTCAGGTATTCCCCACCCCCCAAGACCCAATAGATGAGATAATTTAGGTGAATAAAAATATATGGTTCAGGTGTCTCTAACAATCACATCTGATCTGATCCCTAGAGTGTGTACGTTAGAAATGCTCTCAGCTGCAAGTAACACATAGCCTTCTCTCAGGACGTTATGCCATAAAGACATGGATTGCATTTGGTATTCCAGGAAGTCACAGAAGCAGGGTCTTGAGGGGCTTCAACATCTGGCAACACACTGAAGTGATGAACTTATCTTCTTTTACTGATAATAAGAGTTCTGTGATATATCAGTACATTTCCTTTTGGGCCTTCTTTTCTTTTGATTCACAAGACCCTCCCCTGATTGTGCTTTCATTTATCCATTTTTCCCTCACACAACTCTGTACTTTTTTCACTTTGATGATATCCTTTAATATCATTTTAATGATTTGAGCATGTCTACCTGTTTAATGTTAGCTAGCCTTGTACAGTTTTAGAAGAAAGTAATGGCATTCTACTATCTTTCCTATCCCCACATCCCCTCATCCCCACATCCAAATTATTTCCCCCCTATGCGTAATTTTTTTTTCTCTCACAGCCTTTAAGATTTCATCTTTTTTCTCTGTCATTATTTTTATAATGTGTCTTGGTGTGAGTCTGCTATAATTTTGTACCTTTGGTGTCCTGTAAGCCTCTTGTATTTGATTTTTATTCCATTCTTTAGGTTTGGGAAATTTTCTGCTATTATATCATTTAAAAGATGGTGTATTCCTTTGGTTTGTATATCCACTCCTTCATCTATTCTGATACCTCTTAAGTTTGGTCTTTTCATGTTATCCCATAATTTTTGGATGCTCTGTTCACAGTTTCTTACCATCTTCTCTGCATGGTCAATTCTACCTTCAAGACTATATATTATATATTTGTCTTCATTATCTGAGGTTTTGTACTCCAAGTGGTCTATTGGTTGGTGAGGCTTTCTATTGAATTTATAATTTGGTTTATTGATTCTTTCATTTTGATTAGTTCTGCTTGGGTTTTTTTCATGGTCTCTTTATTGAAGTGGTCTTTCACTTCCTGAATTTTTTCTTTGATTTCACTCCTTATACTATCCTTTACTTCATAAATCAATTTAACTATGTACAATCTGAACTCCTTCTTAGACATTTCTTCTACTGTGTTATCAGTGGCTTCTGTTGTTGAAGTGTCTTGGTTGGTTTGGGGCACTTTATTCCCTTACTTTTTTTTCATGTTGTATGTGTGTTTTCCCATCTAAAAATATGGATCTAAGGTAGCATACATTATACCCTCTAGACCTACAGTGTTCCTAAAGGTTTCTAACTCTTCACCTTTAATGGTGAGGCCAATATCAACAGCATCCAGTGAACATAATATATAGCCTTAAATCTAATAACTCTCACTAAGGCGTCTACTGCTTTCTCGCATTAAACCAAAATGATGAGTTCAATAGCAATCTATTGTATAAATAGAAAATTTGTTAAAATGGTTTACAACTTCAAATGGTGGATGAGAGAACAGAGATAGTGTAATATGCAATATTCATGAAGGAAGAAGAGAGAAGCTAGAAGTAAAATTTCACAGGAAGAGTGAAAGAGGAGCTGACAGAGATTGGATGTTGGTTAGAGAAAAGTTGGAAAGAAAATCCAAGAAAACAGACAAGAGAGAGGAAGAATATGAACAAAGAGAAAAAATTAAAGACATAAGAATACAACAAAAATGCAAAACAACATTCATGTATCATTGTCCTCCAAACACTGATGCATAAAAAACATCCTATTCCAAATATGGTAGAGAGATTAGCAAATCAAAAAATAAAATAAAATAAATCTTCCTGGAAAGTTAAACTGTCTCTGTCAGTGTTCAACAGTTTCTCAGCCTGTCTTTGACATTTTTGGGGATCACCAAACCCAGATTAGCCCTCGAAAACCCAGTCTCTATCCCACCAATCTGAGCTTCACATAACTCAGGCTTGGCTATGCTGCAGACCCAAGATCTCAATTGTTGCTCCTACTTGTAGAAAGACCACTAGGGATACACTAATGCAAAGGAGTAACCCCAAGATGCAACAGCAAGACAAGGGCCACCAGCACTCTTAGCAGGAAGACCCCCGTCTCCTCCAGGTCCTAGCTGGAGTCCCCAGATAGAGGCTCTTGTGGTGGTTATCCTGCTGGCATCTGGGCTCCAGGGCCCTGGGTGGTGTCCCAAAATGGGTGCAGCCACATGCAATCAAACTTGGAGTCTCCCCTGAAGCAGTTCTCTAGGCCATGGTAGACGTGGTAGTGGCAGTAGTTGTTAGCTACAGGCAGCAGGTCAGCAGTAGAGGCGGCTGCAGCGGTGGCTGCAGTTGCAGCTGTGGGGGCAGCATCACCAGGCTGGGGATCAGCTTCAGTTGCATCTGGGACAGTGGCGTCTTCTTTGACAGCAGCACCCAGAAAGAAGACCTCTGGGCAACCTTAGGCTGGCAGCATGGAATCAGAGGCAGCAGCAATGGTGGTATTGGTGCAGGTGGCAGTTGATTGGCAGGAGACTTACGGTTCAGCAGCAGTGACCATGAAGATAGTAGGAAGTAGCAAGGTAACCAAGGTGGTGCCCAGAGAAGAGACCTCTAGGCCTGGAAGGGCTTCCACAGCAGCAATGTTAGCCCCAAAAGTCTTTTAAGAGAAGAGTTTTTAATTTTTATGTGGATATGCCTTTTTCTTTTTCATTTTTGTCAATAATTTCTAGTGCTATTGCACATGATCAGGGCGTGTTTTTTGGAATATTTTCTTATTACCTAATTTCCTAATATTTTCATTATGATCAATTTTTGTGAAAGAAGTTTCATGAACACCTGGGGAAAATAAGGCATAGACAGTCTTAGGATAACAATCAAGATATAGCTAAAAGTTTTACTTTATTGATT